TGCAGCTGCTGTTGCACGCGCGCCACAGCTTCGTGACGTCCGGCTGCGGAAAAACTCTGAACTAAACGTTTAAAAAGTTTAGTCTTAATTCCTGTTCTGTTCGCTTTCTCCCCCTCGCTTCTTTATTTTTCTTCTTTTTATTTTTATGGCGGTTGGCAAGCGACGTTCAGATGTTCATTACCGTCATCTAGTGGATCAGGGTGATAAATACACCGTCCCTTCCTGCCTCGGCAGAAAACGCGCACAGGTGGAGGAGGTGGAGGTACCTGTGTTCCTCGCTCGCCAGTTTAGCAGCTTAATGTGGGCAATGGTTGACCAGGGGGTTGATCATCAACATATATTCATGTTAGGAGGATGTTTGAGAGGAGCTACATCTGTAGCATGTTCTCTCAGCAGTAAGTGTGACTCTGTCAGACGCTGCAGGTGTAAGAGACGCTGTGTGTTCAGGTGCATTAAAGTTGAAATGTCTTTAAACCCCCACACCTTATTGTTCTCAAGCTTCATGAGAAACATCATTTAGATGAGGAGTGTTGAACACAAGTAAAAAAGTCCAGTGGTGATGGTTTTTATTTCACTATAAAGACAAATAGTGCTGATCTGACGCACTGTATTAAAGTGTATTAAAGTTAAAATTACTTTAAACCCACAGCTGCATTTACACAAACTTGGTGAGAAACATGTTTTAAATGTTTAGAATTAAAGGAAATCTGGGTGAAATGCTGCTTTTTTGTTCACTAGTGAACACACACACATCACTGATGCTTCTGACGCCCTTGTGCTTGGCACATTGGTTTAGTTTAGCATATTTCTTAGTTCATGTCTTAGATCTTATCACTGTTTTTCTTTACAATTTGTACTTTTGTTGGATGTAACTGGGACTCTGTGTACATAGTTTCATTCCACTTCATGTACCACATGTGATGTGAATGACAACAAAGACACCTTGACCTAAAACAGTAATTAACTGATCAAAACATTTAGTATTTAATTATTTATTTTATACACACAAAAATATAAAAGTTATGTACAAATTGTGGTATTAGACTGAAAAAAAAAAAGATGAATACAAATAAATAACATGATTCCATAATAACAGATTCAGAGAGTAGTAGAATAAATACTGTTTATTAAAAAAACCTGAAACTAAAGCTTACAGTCTGTAATGCTAATATATACTGTATGCTGGAGTAAAGTCAGGCGCAGGCAGGTACAAAATAGCATAAAATACAAAGCTTGTGCATAAACTGTCTCATTTTAACTTAAATTTAAACACATTATTCCTGGTGTCTGTTAAAAGTTCTGATTAGATTTCATCTTGAATGAACAGTAATTTGTTTTCCAAAAAAGTTCAATCTGGTCCTCTGGACATTCAAAAAAACCAAAAACAAAACAAAGCAAAAAAATCTAGAAATGTTTCGTCTCTCATCCAAGAGACTTCCTCAGTCTGAGGTGCTGTTTTCAGCTCAGTCTCTTAAATAGCACCTTCTCAGAGTGGATCAACCAGTTTGCTGCTGACAACCAAAACCAGCTGATCACATGCTCAAGAAGGACCATCAGCCTAACAATGGATCATTAGCACACTGATGGCTGTTTACTACTCACAGAGGGCTGAGTGATACTAGCAATCACAGCATTGTAAGAGGGGGACAGTTGAACCCGGAGGCCTCCACCCCTGTTTAATGATGGACGATTTCTTTTCACAAAGATGGCCTCCTTTACTCCTCTCTCAAACCATCGTTCCTCTCTGTCCAGGATGTGATCTGTCCTATTGTTGCCAACCTGTACATGGAGGAGGTAGAAAAGAGAGCCTTGACGTCCTTTTCAGGGACACCACCAAGTCATTGGTTCAGGTATGTTGACGACACCTGGGTTAAAATTAAATCTCAGGAAGTCCAACATTTTACTGACCACATCAACTCTGTGGATAAATACATCAAGTTCACACGAGAAGATGTAAAAAATGGCAAGTTGGCTTTCTTGGACTGTGAGGTCTCAGTCTCTGATAGAGGACATTTGCAAACCGAGGTGTATTGCAAACCCACCCACACAGACCAGTATTTGCAGTTTGACTCCCATCACCCTTTGGAGCACAAGTTAGGAGTCATCAGGACTCTGTATCACAGAGCAGACAGCGTCCCCACTAACTCAGGAGCCAGGCAGAAGGAGAAATCCCACACATTACAGGCTCTAGAGCAATGTGGATATCCTAACTGGGCCTTCCTAAAAGCAGAGAAGAAACCCAAACAGGACTCCAGTCAGCCAACGGGTGAAAAGGAGGAACCCAGACCCAGACCAGTGGTCATTCCGTATGTTGAGGGGGTATCAGAGAAACTGAGACGTTTATTTTCTAAACATAACGTCCCAGTGGCTTTTAAACCCCAAAATACATTACGGCAAAGACTGGTTCATCCCAAAGATCCAGTCCCCCGGCACAAACAGAGTAATATTGTGTATGCTGTTCAGTGTCAGGAGGGTGATCAGTCTTACATCGGGGAAACTAAACAGTCACTGGCCAAAAGGGTGGACCAGCACAGAAGATCAACATCATCAGGCCAGGACTCTGTGGTCTACACTCATCTCCAGGCCAGCGGTCACTCTTTCAGAGATGAAGATGTTCACATCCTGGACAGAGAGGAACGATGGTTTGAGAGAGGAGTAAAGGAGGCCATCTTTGTGAAAAGAAATCGTCCATCATTAAACAGGGGTGGAGGCCTCCAGGTTCAACTGTCCCCCTCTTACAATGCTGTGATTGCTAGTATCACTCAGCCCTCTGTGAACAGTAAACAGCCATCAGTGTGCTAATGACCCATTGTTAGGCTGATGGTCCTTCTTGAGCATGTGATCAGCTGGTTTTGGTTGTCAGCAGCAAACTGGTTGATCCACTCTGAGACGGTGCTATTTAAGAGACTGAGCTGAAAACAGCACCTCAGACTGAGGAAGTCTCTTGGATGAGAGACGAAACGTTTCTAGATTTTTTTGCTTTGTTTTGTTTTTGGTTTTTTTGAATGTCCAGAGGACCAGATTGAACTTTTTTGGATTTTTCTACCTGGATTATTGAGCATGCATCAGGATAGTAATTTGTTTTGTCCACAGTGTGGCGCAAGAGAGCTGCTCGTTAAAAAGCTGCTGCCCCCGGGACGACCCCACCTCAGAACTAACAGGAGGTTGATGTTGGTGTTAAAATGTCTGAAGGTTTATGTTTTTAATAAAACCAACAAACAACTGGTATTGTCTCATAGTATTTTTCTGTTTACTGCATTTTAAAGAGAGTTATGTCTTTGTGGCAGAGCTGAATCTTCTTTGCAACAGAATGTTTGAAAAGTACAAATTCTGGAGCTGTTTCATGTGAATCTGCAAAGTCTTAACCTTTTTTTTTTTTTGCACAATTAACATTTGTTTTGTTGTGTATTCTGATTTTAACTAGAAACAGTTTAATTTAAATTAACATTTTAATGAATGAAGTAGTCAATCAGTTGTCAGGCTACAAGCACCAAATATGTCTAGTGCAACCACTATTTATATATCTTGTATATGTATTGTATATACATATTTTTATTTAAAAAGGAGAATTTTCTTCAATTAAATAGACATTATTTTAAACGACATATCTTGTTAGCGTGGTAAATGACTGTTAAAGCAGGAGATGGCTGTTTTTATTGGTATATATTCCTCCATTGCACATCGTTATTCAATGTTTAAGAAGAAACTCGTGCAGTCATGTGAGCACAGCTGAAAACTCTTGTACAAAACAGAAGAAATAAAACTGGTCATTTGTCTAGTTGAGAATCTGGAGCAACTGCATCTGTGCATTCATTCACTTCATTTTGAGGCTTTTTTCCTTAAATGTCTTTCACTCGTGCGGCGCGGTGGCAGGAGAGAGCGTGGCCAGACAGCAGCTGTATGTAGCATGACTGTTGTTGTGAAGAAGAGACAAAGAGTAGGATCAGAGAAGAAGACCAAATGGTGGAAGCTGAAGGAAGAAGAATGATGTGTGGAAATCAGAGAGGAGCTGTTAAAGGCTCTGGGTAAGAAAGAGCTTCCAGATGACTGGGCTTATAATATTACAATTCTATATACATAACGGGGAGTGGTGGCGCAGAGGCTAGAGAAGGTGGGCCTGTGATCAGAAGATCGCCGGTCAAGCCCCGGTACCAGCAACATCAAAAATGGGGGTAGGTGAAGCACCCACACCTGCCCCCACCCTCATTTGCCCCACCCTGGGCTCATGAGCAAGGCCCTTAACCTCCATCTGCTCCCCAAACAGGTCTCTCTTGAAAATGAGTTCTCGTGGCTCAATGAGACTACCTGGATAAATAAAGGGTAAATGAAAAAATAATAAAAATAAATGTAGATATGGCAAGTCTAAGCCATTATGGTCTGTATTCAGACAAGAACTCCACATGTTAAAACTTTCATTAGACGGTGCTAAAAACACACAAGCAGAAAAGCTCTCTGATCACCTCGCTCAGATAATATAGTCCTCTGACAAATTATGTGATGTAGAATGTTAGATAAATACTTCAGTGTTTTTATTTTACTTTTATCATATTATTTACTAATTCTCTGTTAATAATTTTACTTAAATTTCAATTTGTGCTGAGTAATGTTAACTTGTTTATGCATATGTTGACCTTAGGAGGTATGACAGAGTTTTTTTTTTTACATGTTTATATGTATCATATTATAATTTGTAATTGTCGTTTGTTTCTTGTGTTCCTTTGTTCTGTTATGTTGTTCAGTAGCTCAATAAGTAAAAAAAATAAAAAATCCTTATTAACGACATTCTGGACTTCGAAAGTGCTTCACCTCTTGTTTGCTATGAATGGTTGGAAACGTATCAATCACAAAAGGCCGTCCCTAATGATCTGCTGTGATTGGTTGAAATCCTATCAATCACTATGACGATCCTCAGCGTCCTGCTGTGATTGGATGGAATCCTGTCAATCACAGATGACCGTCCCCAGCCTTCTTCTGTGATTGGTTGGAGTCCTGTCAATCACAGAAGGCCGTCCCCTGTCCCGGCAGCCTCAGACTGTAGAAACACCGGAGCTCCAGAATAACGAAGGAGTTGTTTTTTTATCGACCGGTTTGACGTCTTCCGACAGAAAAAGGCTCATGTGTGGTTTGATACCGAACAACAGAGAAGGTTCATGAGGTCCTAGGAACCTAAGCGGAATGCATCCCCGGATCGCTGAACCTGTTCGGTCCGGTCCAGCAGCACAAAGCGGCCTGTGAAGCGGGCTCTGGTTCCTTCTTCCGAACACACGGATGATGCTCCATCATGTCGGGCGATCATTTCAAAGGCCAGGAGGTCAGCTGCTGCATCAAGTACTTCATCTTTGGGTTCAACATCCTGTTCTGGGTGAGTCTCTTATTGTGTTCGGGAACGAGTCGTTCCGTCGGGCGGGGAGAGGCTCGGGTCTTGGTCCGGGTCTATCTGTTCACAACCAGATTCAGTGTTCTGTCAGTTCAGCATACATGTCAGAGTAACATACATGTAGATGATACGCATGCGTGCGCATGCGCATTCTGCAAGAGGCCTCGTAACGTTTAGAGCCGTCAGTTCATCATACACTACAAGATCTCAGTTCATCATACACTTCATGATCTCAGTTCATCGTACACTTCATGATCTCAGTTCATCATACACTTCATGATCTCAGTTCATCGTACACTTCAGGATCTCAGTTCATCATACACTTCAGGATCTCAGTTCA